TTCTTTTATTCTAGATATGCATATTTATTTGGCAAATCATTGAACAAAACCTCCGAACTGCTGAGAAAAACTTTTTATATATTCCCCATCTGTAAACAGGTTTACGTTTTTTGCAATGCACTGTGCAATCTTATAACTTCCTTCTGTGGCTTGATTTTTACTTACACTTAAACATTTAAAAACACTGCTTCGCTTCTCATATCCTGCTACTGCCTTTTTGATCAATTCAGTCTTGTCTGCTTCGTCAAGAAAGGTTTTCTCGTGCTTCGTTTGAAAATGTTGTTGAACACCTGATATGTGACAAACAACACTTTCACAACAGAAAGCACAAACAGCACAGTCCTTCTTTTGAATAAATCCAAATGTGTCTGTCAAAGAAGGCAGAAATGAACGGACATCTAACTTTGCTTTCTTAGGAGCTGACATTTTGTCAAATGTACCCCCCAACTTACAGTGGAAAAAAAAAATCACGACAGATGGCACACACAGCGTCAAATGCAGTGCGCTGTTCCACGTGGTGTGATAGTGATGCAAGCAGCAAATCAGGACTTAAAAATATCCCAGTACAGTGGCACTGGAACAATTTTTAAGGTGGGGGTTCTGAGCTGCGCCCCCTCTTGCCCCTGTCTACACCCCACAGTGCCCCAGGCTGGGGCCAGTGGGCCACAGCTGGGGGTGGCTGTAGAGCCCCGGCCCGAGGCCAGGACCCCAGGATGGCAACAGAGCCCCCAGGACTGGTGGCCGGACCCGGGGCCAGCAGCAGGGCCGGCGGATGGGACCTGCAGGGGGCCAGCGTCTGGGACCACAGGATGGCAGCAGAGCCCCCAGGACCAGTGGTCGGGACCCAGGCACTGTGAGTGCCACTCAAAATCCTCTCACGTGCTGCCTTTGGCACGTGTGCCATAGGTTGCTGACCCCTGAGCTAGCGGTTAGTATATTCAATTTTTGAGTTTATGTATTATCCATTATTCAGCTAAGACTTAATTGCAATCCGAAGAAGTGGGCTGTAGTCCACGAAAGCTTATGCTCTAATAAATTTGTTAGTCTCTAAGGTGCCACAAGTACTCCTGTTCTTCTTTTTCCGGATACAGACTAACACGGCTGCTACTCTGAAACCTGTCATTAATTGCAATGGTTTTTTAACAGAATTAACTACCATTTAAAAACTTTTTATTTTTGGAAGGCTAGGGTGCTGGATGTCTCGTAGCACAGGAGGAGATTTTCTTTTTTAGAACACTGGTTCAAATCCAGCCAAAGCTGCTCGTCATCAAAAGTCATTACTATCTGATGGGCTTTTCAGTGGCCTTTATGTTAGGAGTTAGTGATCCCAGCCCTATTATTGTTTGTTGATGTTTGCATTGGTAGCCCTGCTAGCAGAGAGGCAAAGAACTGAATAAGTATGGAGAATCAGAATTCTGCTCCTTGAAAGGCAATGAGAATTTTGTCAGTGAGTTCAATTGGCACTGAATAGGGCCCCAATTATAATTTCACCTCTAGAGATGATCTCTATGGCTTGTAGGTAATATACACTGTTAAGACAATGCAGGAAGCTTAGATCAGTGTTCATGTTGAATCTCTTCTGTGGATAAATGGAAGACTTAATTCCTAAATGATTTCAGTCTAATACCCTTCATGACAACTAAATTTATATAAAAAATAATTTTCAATTTTTTTTTATCTTGAATCTCACTAATTGGAAGTATATGGTACAATAGTTGCTTCTGATTCTCTCTGTTATGGATGATTTTCACAGAAATATACACTTTGGAGATCTAGAATACATTTTATATAAAAGTATTTCTTAAAAGCAGTTAATGTAATATTTTAAACAGTTTATACCTTTGACATTTGTGGTATTATACTTAAAAAACAAACAAACAGACCCTCCTAAAACAACAGTGTTGGGCTGGAGTTGTTTTTATTTCCAAGTAAAGAAAACATAAATAACATCCATTCTGTTTGCTCTCATGAATTCACAGCAGTCAGAAATGTACTGTATTTCAGATATGACTATAAATCATATTACTGATAAGTAATACAATACATTAACAAAAATGCCAAATTACACTGCAGCGATTGTTAGTCTTAGTGCTAGTTTCCGCATTAGGAAACAGAATAGTTTCTTGGCACACACATTTAGGTTATAATTCCCTGGCACAGGCTCTAGTCCAGCCTTTTTCTCTTTTCATACCAACATATTAATTCTGCAATAATAAAGCATTTAGCCATAAAAGGTTCATTTCCCCCTAGAGCAGAATTTCTATGATTTTGCAGCATACTGGATAAAATAGAAGTTAACTCTCTTTTAGTGAGCTCTTTGAAGGTTATGGGACGGGAAGTTAAGCGCCGATCAGCTGATACTCTGTGGAACACAGGGTACCCTGGTCTATGCTGATGCAAAGTTGCGACCAGCATCGTGTCAGCGCACTTGGTTCTTCACACTCCTGTTCAGCGGCAGTAACATGGGGTAGAGAAGCCCGGCCCAGGGACACGGTGCGTCTAAAATGTTGGGGAAGACGGGGAGGGATGTGGAACCCTTGTGCAAAGCTGCTTACTCCCCAAAGGGAAAACTCCTCACTGATGGGCATTAAAAACCACGCGGCTTCCATTCTAGCCCCAGGGCTCCCAACCCGCAGAGCCGGCCCGTGCTACAGCAGGGAGACGACCCGCAGCAGCTGGGAGCCAGCGCTGTTTAGATTCACTAGGGCAGGAGCAAGGCTGGTGGGAGGAAATGGGCAGAGGTGAGTGGATGGCGCGGGTAGCACCTGCCCGAGCTCGGGGCTCGGCCTCCAGACCGGCGCAGCCTTGCACTTGGATGGAGGAGCGGGGGGGGGGGTCTCCTGGTTGCTCCTTCTTGGGGCAGAAGCGTCCCTTTCCTATCTAGCGTGTGCGCCCCCCCCCGCCATGGCTTGGCGGAGACTCCCGCCACTCCCTGAAGCTGAGCACAGCCTGTCGCTCGCCCGCTCCCCACGTCTCCATGGAGATCTCCCCTCAGCAGCCCAACAAAGGGAAAAGGGCAGGAAGGACCAGAACAAATTGGGGGTGGGGGGAGGAGACGGGCAGGCTGGGGAGAGAGCGGGACCAGGCCAGGCGAGCAGGTGGGTCCCGCGCACAGCTCGCTGCGGGCCTGGACAGCGGCTCCCTCTTGCTGCTCCTCGGAGCGGGGAGCCGGGCTGCCTTTGAACGGGGCCGGGCCGAGGATGCAGTCGCTGCCCCGGGGAGCAAAGAGGGCAGGGAGTCGCGCCTGTGCCCGGCGCTGCTGGGGCCCGGCCAGCCAGGCTCTGGCTCCGGGGATCCCTCTTTCCCCGCCCTCATCTCCCTGCCGGCCGGCGTCGGCTCCCGCCGCTCGCCGGCTCCGGGCCTCCCCACGTGTCTGGCAGCCTCACCCAAGTGCCGCTGTTGGAGGAGCCGGGCCCCGGGGGCTCAGCGCTGTGCCCAGCGCCCCCTGCTGCCCAGCCCCGGCCGGCGGGGTCGGGGTGCAGCGAGCGCCCGGCGGGCATGGAGCGGGGAGCTGGGTAGGGACAGGGAGCCCTGGAGGGTCCCCAGGCTGTTTGGAGGAGGTTTTTAGACCCCGAGTCCCGAGGATGTTTGCAGAGGGCGGAGGGGCTGTAAGAACAGATCTCCTAGTCCCAGTGTCCTTCCTCCTCCAAAACTCCGGTTCTGCCCCTCAAGGGCTCGGGCCCTACATGAGTCAACGACTGCGACCAGATTCTGCTGCCTTTCCTCAGTGTGAGTAATAGCGGCTGGCGGAGTCACACATTACCAGGCTGAGGAAAGGCAGCAGAATCCGGCCCTAGCTATTGACTCATGTAGGACCCGATCCCGAAGGGCTGCTGCTGGCCGAGTTGTGTTGGCAGAGTAAATTACTGCTAAGGGTGGCAGAATCTGTGCCTGCCCCAGAGTAATAATCTTCATCACACCATCACTGATTGATTTCAGGGACTGTTCCAGCTTCAAATCGTGTATCTACCTAAATGGCTCCTGGACTGGGGCCTGAGTGAAGGTCACTTTTAGGAGGTGAATGTTTTAAAATTCATAGTGTTGAGAATTGCAGTAATGAAGGATTGTCTTGCCAAAACAGTTTTCATCTTGGTTGCTAAGATTTTGGGCACACTGAAGCTTTTGGATGCTGACACAATGATGCTTGCAGAATTAAAATGCTTTGGAATAAGCATGATGGATTAATGTGTGTGAATTCGGAAGTATATCTGCTACATTTTTAGAATAGAATTTTCTGTTAATACTTGTCTAAATTATTAAAGCAATTTCCAATGAACTATGTACATACACATTTGTGTGTGGGTGTATGACATCTCTTGTGATTAACAAGTTATTTCACATCATTTACTGTAATTTTATGTAGTCATCTACTAGTTAATTGTATACATTTTGGTGCTCTTGGACATCTTTGTAAAAACACCCATTAATGTGCACTTTGTATTTGATCATGCATACTTCAGAGACAAAATATTGCCTATCTTGATAGAATGTGCAGGTGAGTTCAGTGCAGTACTTCTAACAAACAATAGTTTAAAAGTAACTTACAAGAAGTATGCATTATGGGCATGATTCAAGCCCACTGAAGCCAGCAAGGATAAATAAGAATGGCCATACCAAGTCAGACCAAAGGTCTATCTAGCCCAGTATCCTGTCTTTCGACAGTGGCCAATGCCAGGTGCTGGAGAGAGAATGAAAAGAACAGATAATCATCAATGATCCATCCCCTATTGCCATTCCCAGTTTCTGGCAAAACCGAGGGTAGGGACACCATCCTTGCCAGTCCTGGCTAATAGCCATTGGTGGACCCATCCTCCATGAATTTATCAAGTTATTTTTTTTTAACCCTGTTATAGGCTTGGCTTTCACAACATCCTCTGGCAAAGAGTTCCACTGACTTCACTGGGGTTTGGATCAGGCCCTAAATCTGGGGCCAAATCTTGCTTATACGTGTAGACTCATTAAAATTACCCTTGTGGGAGTGAAACAAACCACAGCTGGTCCTGGATGTATCCAATATAATGTCTGGTCCTGTAATCATTATTTAGGCAAAGGATAAACATCATTTTGAAGTTGAGAATTTTGCTGTGTAAGAAGGAGGAGACTGAGCCAGAGCTCATTGAAGTCTATAAGAGTCTGTCATTGAGTTCATTAGGCTAGAAGAGCCAGTCCCATAGTGAAGGAGTGTAAATCTAGAATAGTATTGAACTTCAGTTATATCAATATAAAGTGTTAACATGCATGTTCATTATCTTAATTTCCTCCTCATTTTATCTTAAAATATTCCAACATAATTTTGGTTTGAAGCTGTTAAGATTCAGACACATAATAGACACTGGGATTCCATATGGACAAAACAAATCTTCTCCTGCTGCTGCTGTTAGAATATATATTTCAGGTAAGAAATCTTTTCTTCTTTGATGTTTTAATTGAAGTATACAAAGTTATGGTTACCGGTTAGGCTCTTTTTTGTCATTCTAACCATCACAATAAATTGTAATGTATAGTAACCACTCTGTGGTTCCAACCTTGCTGCTGTTGAAGTAAATGAAAGCTTACCTTTTACTTTAGTGGAAACGTGTTTGGGTCCTATGGTAGGTAGGTAGGTGGTGAAAATGGAGCGTAAGGACTTGTGCCTAAACCCTTTGTTGTCAGTTTAAAGGCTCCCATTGACTTCAGTGGACTTCGGATAAGGCCCTAAATGAGATTCAATATCTTGAAAATAGTTTTTGGAAAAAGAAGTAGAAGGAAAATTATAAGCTGAAGTCCCTTTTGTCCTTTATGCTCACAAGTTGTGCATGGCAGAATATCTGAATACATTTGTAAATTTGAAGAATTAAGTGATTTTTGGTAGGTTTTCCATTTTAATTGATATTGTCAGATGCTGTGCTCTATTTTGCATGGTGGCTTCCTACAACTGTAATGAGCAAATATACATAGTTAGATCAAAAACAAGAGCAAAAGTTGGAATGGAAAGCAAATATGAGTTGCTTGTTACATTTCAAAGCCGATTTTCTTCTGTTCAGAATGAAGAACTTTCACTACATTATTTTCAGTGTAAATTTCTGCAGTTCTCCAGCTTGCTGTACAAGTATAATTTTAAAGCCTATTATTCTTTTCTTGAGCATATCTTTAACTTATCAGTGAACCCTACTGTTTATGGCACATATGTCAGTGTAATGTGAGTTCCTTGGCTCCCAGGAAGAGGCTTGCACCATTCTTGTGAAATGTAAACTATACTTTGAATGTGAATTGTTATTAAGATCTTAGAAGATTTACATAGTCATGTCAGTTTGGCATTAGACATAACAAATGACCCTAAAACAGTAAACTGAGTAGCATATCATGATGTATTCACAAAGGGCAAAGCTATATGGAAAACTTATCCTTTTATATTTTGTGTTCAGTTTTTACTACAATGCATCACTTTGCAATATAACATCACATAATACAATCAGAAATTTTAGATTTAGCTTTTATTGTGGAGTAGAATGGTTGCTACTAGTTCAGGCTATGACTTTTTTGAGCTACATTTTGGGTTTTTGTTTCTAGTATTCCATTCAAGCTAAATGGAAATATAAACAGGTAAAGTGCTGAAATCTTTAAATAACCCTAACCTGTATTATATCTAATATAGAGACTGGCAGCTCAGGCCCAAATTCCTTAGAATTTCAGACATATGGTTCAGATTTGTATCTCCAAATACTAAACCAACCCCTATGTTTTTGGTTCCAGGTCAGACCCAAAATCAGCAGGGCCCTGTTTTCCTGAATGGGTGTAACCAAAGTCCTGTAAGAACAAATGTATCATTATAATAATAGGAGTAAAATATTTGTATCTTAAAATTATTCAGTTTCCATCATAAGAACAGCTCTTCACAGGTAGGGTGGGCGAGAAGGTCAGCAGAGGTAAGCTAGTTCCCCACTTCATATACACTTCTGTTCCTGATTCTAGGTGTGCAGAGGCTGGGCTGCTTACTAAGGATAAAGTAAACTCTGTACTATGTTCTGCGCGTGGGAGCCAGGGAATCTGGGAGGTTTGGAGCTCAGGTCCCAAGGATCATATTTAAACAAAACCAGCAAAACTTAAAAGGAACTGGATCTCTCTTCTCAGCACTGACCTAGGCAGAGGGATATTAACCCTACTACTCCACATTGCTGGTTCGGAGACAGCAGTAAACCCTACCCTCATTATTACAGCCGGCAGAATAATATTAGCTGCTCAATTTATTTGATTAATTTCATAGTATATTTCAAATACATTTTTTTTTCATTTTTAGCCCAGCTTTACACATTTCTGTTGAGGACGATTTTCTTGATTTAAGCAGTGTTGCCTCTTCTTTCCCTCTCAAGACTTGCTGTTTCGGAATGGAATTTTGTCTCCATGCAGCTCTCCCAATCTCCCATCTAAGCTTCATGAAGGAGCTCTCATAATTTGCAGTGCCTTTTCCTCATAATGTGCAGTGCCTTTAAAAATTATTCCCCGGATGAGTACCAATGTACTCAAACAGAGGGGATTACTCTTCCCTTATAAAACTTCCCCTATTTCAATCAGGTGACCATGAATGATATCACTCTCCTGAGGCTGACCAGAAAGATAAAGACCAAATGTTGAATGTGACCAAAACCTAGGACCATTCGCTGCCGTGCTTTGTGCTGCAATGATTCCAGACCTTGCTACTGGCTTGGCGTGGTAAAGCGTCCTACCATGGAGGACGAAATAAGGCAGCTCTCCCCGGAAACCTTCTGCAAAGGCTTTCAGAGTACCTCCAGGAGAGCTTCACGGAGATGTCCCTGGAGGATTCCCGCTCCATCCCCAGACACGTTAACAAACTATTCCAGTAGCAGTACTGGCCGTGAATGCATCCCAATTGTTCAGAGCAAATCAAACATTAAACACAATTGCTTTTAACCCCTGTAGTGTCATTACAAATGTGCACTCACCAGAGGTGCCTTCTCCGCCTTCTGGTTCTGGGAACAATATGCCCTGGGAGGGTATTGGTCCAGGGTGATGAAAAGGTCCTGGCTGTCGGGGAGAACAGATTCTCCGCTTGCCTGCTGTTCTCCTCCTCCTCCTCCTCCTCCTCTTCTTCCTCATCCATGTTGCATGAGGCTGCCGCCTTGCAGGAATACATGGAGAGTGTTGGGGTACTGGTAGGGTTCCCCCTACAATGGCTTGCAGTTGATCATAGAAGTGGCATGTCTGGGGCTCTGACCTGAAGCGACCGTTTGCCTCCTTTGTCTTTTGGTAGGCTTGCCTGAGCTCCTTCATTTTCACTTGGCACTGCTGTGTGTCCCTGGTGTAGCCTCTGTCCACCATGCCCTGTGTGATTTTTGGCATATATATTAGCATTTCTTCTGCTGGATCGGAGTTCTGCCTGCACAGATTCTTCTCCCCATACAGCAGTCAGATCCAGTGTATTCCATTCGCTTCATACTGGAGCTCATTTGCAATTCTGGGACTGCCTGGTCACCTGTTCTGCTGAGCTTGCCACACAGACCAAACAGGAAATGAAATTCAAAAGTTCCCGGTGCTTTTCCTGTGTGCCTGGCTAGTGCATCGGAATTGAAAGTGCTGTCCAGAGCGGTCACATTGGAGCACTCTGGGATAGCTCCCGGAGGCCAATACCATCGAATTGCACAGTGTTGTGTGTACAGTACCCCCCAAATTCAACCCAGGAAGGTCGATTTTAGCGCTACTTCTCTCGTCGGGGAGGAGTACAGCAGTTGATTTTAAGAGCCCTTTAGGTCAGCTGAATGGGGTTGGTTGTGTAGATGCATTTATTATAAAACCGACCAAACGTGGCTAAATTCGACCTACCCTTGTCGTGGACGACCAGGTCTTAGGGAGCACTCTGTGAATGCATTCCCTGCCTGAATTCCTATGATGATGATTGCCATACTGGAATCACAGACTGCATTCCTGACAATGGAGTGGGTTTGGGCCACAGCTGATATTACTTAGCTACATCTGAGATGAAGGGAAGACATTAGTATCTGTATCTGCAGAACCTATGAATATTATGGAGCTTCTAAGGACTTCGCAGTTGGGCTGGCAGTTTTGGGCTGGGTAGAATCCAATGGTAAATGGCAGTATGTAAACAGAACAAGTAACTATAGACAGAGTTTAATCATTTCCTCAAATTTGCTTTTCTTCTACTGCATGTTCTGTTGAAATACATTTTGTGTACTTTTGTATTGCAGGTTTCAAAGAGTCTAGATTGTGACCAAGTGAAAAAATCCACTAGAGCAGTTTCGGTGGCGTGGTCTGAGTTCCCCAAAGGAGAAAAACCAGATTTTTATGTTGTAACATATAAGCTTACAGATGACTTCCATGAAAAAGTAAACTATGTACAGTATTTCATAATTCTGAGCTGTAAATAGTTGTCTGTTTATTTAAATTTTAAGTGCCAATAGAAAATGGCCTTTGTTTTTTAATAAAAGAGATGAATGTGACATAGTTTAATCGACTGAGTGAAAGTTTAGAAAAATTAATCCCCAATTCCTCAATTGACTTCATGTGCCCACATGGAGCTCCATTGAAGCCAGTGGGATTCAAGCATGCACTTTAAGTGCTTTGCTGAATAGGAATAGACTTAAGCATTTGCTTAAAGTTAAGCATGTGCATAAGTGCTTTGCTGAGTCAAGGGCTGTGTGAGGCTAATGCTGCCATTTGACGCTAAGCTCTCCTAAAAAGGTACAGTTGCTATGCTTCCTGGTGCTCAATCTAGGAGGCATTATTTCGTACATGCCTTCTGGAGCTCCCATCTGGGCAGAACACAAGTCATCCTTCCCTCTCCCCCTTCCCCCCAATACAAGGTTGGGCTTTAAAGACTCAAAACAACCATAAATATTTTTGTTATAAATATTTGTTGAATATTTAATAGTTGAATTGAAAGGAAATAGTTTGACGTGCTGCTATATTTTATTAATATACTTTTTTAAAATACAGGTACACCATTTACACTAGAGATGATTTTTATTAATTCTCTTTTGTATTACGTTCATTACTCATTACATCAAGAAATTCTTTTAAATTTCAGATTGTAGAAAACATTTCTTCAGTTGTGCTAAATCCTCTGAATTCCATAATTCTGCTAGAAGAAGGAAAGAAATATGATGTCACAATAGAGTCAATAAAGAATGGGTCAATTTTAAGTGTAAAGTCATTTAAGACATGTAAGTAATAGAACATAAAATACTTTTTGGCATTTTTATCATCAATTTGTTATTGAAGATAAAAGAAAAAGATAGGGAATGAGCTCATGGACTCATTACAGTCAATGGAAGTTTTTCAATGAACTTCAATGGGGCCAGGATTTCACCCCTGATTTAAAGGAAGACCATCTTCACAATAACTTGTTGGGTATTGTAATGATCAAGTTAACCAACAGAATGCAAAAACTGTGCTCTTGTGATTTTTATTATTTTATTTTATTTAATTTTTTTTTTACTTGTGACTGAGATGTTCTTCCCTGGGAGAAATGAGCCAACTGCAAAGTTATTGATAGTCTTGCCATTTTAGACCAGTTTAAGGTGTAATATATTTACAGTAAAAATTGAAATTAAATATTGTACTTGGGTTTGTTTGTTTTTATGTTGACAACCCTTCATCTAGAATGGAGGAGAGGAGAAGGTGATTGTGGGCTAGTGGTTAGAATGAAGAATTGGGGACCAGACTTATTGGGCCAGATTTTTAGCACAAGAGTGTGTGTGTTAGGGATGGGGAGGCAGGGGAATTCAGCAGGGAACTGCTTGTGGCATTATGCCAGATAATAGCTCCTCCACATCAGGGGGAATTCTCAGAGGCCAACTACAGTCGGATTCCAGCCTGTATGCTGACTGAGTGGTGCAAGGTGCCAGATTTGGGAAGCGAATCTGACCCTTAGGTACATCTACACTGCAAACAAACAAACAAAACCCCAGAGGCAACAAGTCTAGAGCCTGGGTCAACTCAAGCTCGCACCATGGAGCTAAAAATAGCAGTGTAGGGTTGGAGCCTGGGCTTTGTGATCCTTTGCCCTAACCGGGTCTCAGAGCCCTCAGTTGACCCAGGCTGTGCCTGGCTGCTGCTGGTTTTTTTCTTCAGCGTAGGGGCATGCATAGGCTGCATTTCCTTAACTATTTCATAGGGATTTTGTGAATCTTGATTAATTCATATTTATAAAGCTCTTGGAGACCTTGGGAGGAAAGTAGGTTTTGTAGAGGTGTAATTCACCCCAGGGCTGCCCAGAGGATTCAGGGGGCCTGGGGCAAAGCAATTTCAGGGGCCCCTTCCATTAAAAAAAAGTTGCAATACTATATTCTCGTGGGGGCCCCTGCAGGGCCCGGGACCTGGGGCAAATTGCCCCACTTGGCCCATCCCCCCCCCGGGCAGCCCTGATTCACCCTAGTGCAGAGGGCCTGCATGAAGTATTATGGCAATAGTTAACTTCATTTAAACCCTAAAATGGGTAATAAGTGGTGACTCTGCCTGGGTTGAATTTCACCCTAATTGCAAAGAATTATTAAGGTATCATGAGTATAGCTGAACAGATAATTGATTTTTCAGTTCAAATGAAAAAAAAATTTTTTTTGAGTCAACCCATAAAGGACATGTTTTATTTTTCTTGCTGAAATTAAAATTGGGAAAAATAATCATTTCAGCTTGAATGAAATGGTTTGTTAAACCCAAAACAAAATTTTTGGTGTAAATTTTGTTTCTTTAAACTTTGAAACAAAATGTCATTTCAAAATCAAAAGATTTCAGTTCAAAACTGTCAAAACAACATTTTGACTTAAAAAAATATATTTTTTTCCCTTGGCTGAAACATTTGGCCTGAATTCACAAATAGTTTTGGTCAACCTGAAGCTGCATGGTGGATCAGTTATTTGTCCAAAAAAATTCACTCAGCTCTAATCATGAGGCCCTCAACCCTATGGAATGTTTGACTGATTTTTCTTTGTGACTGTCCCCCAGTGAACCCTAAAAGAAACCATGGTCTAAGCAGTAATATCATTGTTCGATCAACTAGCACTCATGGCTTTAATTTCAATTTCATAATAGGTCATGGTCACCATCCATATTTGTCATTTGGGGCTTCAGCAGCAGCAGTAGTAGCAAGAATAGATTGCACCTCTTGAGTTTAAGAGGGACATTTTGAAAAGGTCCTAAAGAATTTAGGAGCACATTGATTTTTAAAATCAATGGGAGTTGTGATTCTAAATCCCTTAGGTGCTTTTAAAAGCCTCTCTCTAAAGCCTTACCTCTAAGACATTCCAATATCTTGCCAACCTGGAAATGAAAGACCATAATCAGGATTTAAATTTAAATCTGTGGCCTAAACCTGTGAAGTCCTGAGTCCCTGTGGTAGCATCCATTGACAATAGTGGGAGCAGAGGACACTTGGCAGCATTTCTCAAGATTGTGCTGCTACTATGTTTGAGCACTTGGCCAATATACGTTATTAATGAATATTGAACCAAGCTGCATTACAGAATTTACACCTTTACACTCACACTATGTTTATTTATGAGCTTTCTAAGTTTATTTGCATTTCTTTCTACTGAATACAGTGATTATTTCAATTTTATATTTACATACTGTTAAAGATCCACCAGAGCAAGGATGCATGGAATTGCACACTGAAATAGCTTCTAAGTTGCAGCTAAACAGGAAATACATTTTTGTTTTAATTGTAGCGTGTCCCTCATCCCTTCCTGAAATACACTTGCTTCTTATACAGTGCATAAAAATTAACAGATATATGTACATATTGTACTTATTAATCAATTATTGTAAAGGTAAATAATCTAAATTTCTTTGCTCTGTTAGGTGGAATTTCAGGCAACAACATCAAAGCACTTGTGACAAGTACTACAGTATCTTTTAACTGGAGTATATTAGCCAGTGAATTTTCAGTTTCAGTTGCACTGAATAACACTTTGCGGATTATACAACAAAACGATGTCTTCTCTGAGTGGGATAATTTGATACCTGCAACCTTGTATACTTTTACGTTTGAATTTAAACAGCTGCACCTTGAATTTATAAATGTGTTTCAAGCAATGGATATTCAAGTTGAAACAGGTATATACTCTAGTTTATCATGATCACAAAGATTAGAAAGATGACACTGATTACTTTACTTTAAGAGAAAATTTCAAAAAGTATTATATGTACTCAGCAGTACTGTAAAGTCCTTAGTCCCTGTAGTGGCATCCATTGACAATAGTGGGCGCAGAAGGCACTCCGCAGCATGCAGGAGGCTCTCAGCCTCAACATTTCGCAGGATTTTAAATAAATTTTAGCCTTTCTTAAATCCCTTTTGTGTTTGCTTTCCAAAAAACTAGGAGAAATAGTTCAAAGAATAGAAACTGACTGATTTGACCAATTTCAACAAAGCAACCTAGTTTGAATTTCAGATGTTGAGATGTTAGATTTGAAGCAACCTGTGATCAATCCATCGAGTTAAAAAAATTGTTGAAAAAAGTTCATTGAATAAATTCAAGGAAATTGTGATCTGTTTATGGTTATTCCTAAAGAAGAAAATGAGGCTATATTCACATACTAAATTATTTGTTGTGAATTATTCTCTCAGCTGTACTATCTAGTAGGTGTCTGCAATAACATTATGATATGGTGATATCCTGGAGGGGCACTAGTCTCGTCATAGCATATGCATGCTGAAGACCTAATAACCTTACAATCTAAAGTACTGATCTTGTAACGTGATCTGCACAGGTGGATCTCCTGTGTCCAAATGATCCCATTGACTTCAGTGGGGCTTTGCATGGGTATTGAGGGTCCAGCCATATGGATCAGTTTGCAGTACTTGAACCAAAGACTTAAATATTTAAGACAAATTCAACACAATCACAGTTTTTGAAACAGGGGTAGATTTTGTTGTTGGGTCATGCAAGACCCATGTTAAGTGCAGGAATAGTAAGGCTTTTAAGGAATTGCCATTATTTGAAAATTAGATTTGGTTCTCTGTCATTGAAACTGCAGGAGAGAAAAACATGGTGACCAAGACTATTACTTTTGTCAACCTCCAACCTGGCCAGGGGTACTTTCTGAAAGTTGAATAAAACCACCATAATTTGATAAAATGACAATTCCTCCTGCATATCTCACAAACATTTTTCCCCCTACCCTATGAATATGCAAAGGTTCATTTTTCTAGATGGGCATAAAAGAAGATCAGAAAGTGACTTGCAGAAGAATTCATAGGAAGTTTGTGGCAGACCTGGAAACACATCCTTAATCTGTGATTAGAGCACAGTGCCTCTCATGCAAATTGACTTAAATCTATTGAAATATTGAACTACCCATGTTTACCCAATTTTGCCAAGTGCTTTGAGGCACGTTGGCTTAATAGGTCAGCTATTGGCTGTGGAATTACGCAATATGGTTTCTGACATGTTGTTTGCTAAAAACTTGTAGCACTGTATGCCAACATTCAGAGAGGATGTAGGTTACATTGCACATGAATGCATGGCTAACCTAGCTAAGTAGTGGACACGAGTATTTTGTCAGGCATGCTTTGAATGAAACAGGACTCTATAGGAGCTACTATTTGATTGGCTGGCACCATTCCTTTAATTTAATAATCTGGTGTTACTATTTAAAATTTTAAAAAACATTTATTTAGCAGCACAAAAGAAAAAATTAAATATGTTTAAATAAACATAAGTCCAAACCCAATACACTGTGTACAATAAATACATGTTAGCAATTTTTAAAACTTTTAAATATGTATCTTTAGAAACCAATGAATATCTTTCCTGGAGAAGTCTAATAACACAACCATTTTCCTTATTTAACTGAACAAATTCAATTTTAACTCAGTCACGTTACTGAATAATTGATAAAACGTTTTAATATTCCTATTAGTTGCAGAAAATTTAAGGAATAAAGATAGTACATATTTTCAGTGTTGATACCTCTCGCAATTTTATTATGAGTCTCATAATATTTGGCGGGTTTTCTTAAAGCCCCAGTTGCTGGAATCCTGAGATTGCAAGAAAATCTCAGCTTTCATTAAAAAAAGTTTCTAATCATCATGGTTATAGACAAAAGCTAGAAAACATGATGTGCATGCATTCTAAAGTCTCAGAACCAGGATGCAAATAAAAAAGAAGGCAAAACATTTTTTTGTAATGTATGGAAATCTTATGCTATGGGGTGGCTAATTCATGATTCTTGAATGATTGAGGTTGGCAATATTGTTAATTTTAATTAAACGTCATCATACTTTATAGACTTGTTTAAGATTTATTAAATGGAACATCATCATTACTGGTAGAGAACTTTTTGGAAATAATGTATTTGTTCACCCATAGGTCTGTGTTCACAAGGATGGCTGGCATTCAAAGGCAGCTGCTATAAAATGAGCAAATCAAGCAAGCCATGGAGTATGGCACAACAAATCTGTGAATTGTCTTCAATAGGGGCACACCTTGTTGACATACAGAATGAAGAAGAACATATATTTATATCTTCTTACCTCCAGACAGTCAATCAAATAATCATGTTATGGACAGGTCTTAATGACATGAAGGTAAGTATATTTGATCTTTTGTTATTTCCCTATTAAAATAGATTTTTCTTTATCAGGAGAACTTTAATATGTATAATCAAATTTCTGTAGATTTAAAACTTACTATAGTAGGTTGATTTTTAAATAAAAACACTCATTCCCATTGGTTATTACTTTGAGTGGTGATTAGTAGGATATTGCCTATTCTGCAAATAAATTAGGGTTCCCAGATGGTGGTGGTAGCTGTGGGTCCAGAGTGCTGAAGACAGGCAGAGCCCCCAGCACGATCAGTCAGGAGAAGATGAAGTCCCAATGGAACTGATGCAGATTTTGGATCCAGGCATCGGAGCACTTACTTGAGCGTGGGTAGGGGTTTTTGTAGGGAAAGAACAAAGGGAGAACATTAGATTTGTTTGTGGGTAAACTGATGGTTCAAGGGAGTACACCAAAGTTGTTTTGTTCAGGCTAGACAATAGGAACTGATCAGGGCAGTGTTCCTTTAAGGGAGCTCACAATGCAATTAGGCAGCTTCAGTATTTTGGATGCCAATAAAATAATTTATTACTAGAATTGGTCTGATAACTGCTGAGCTGGGTGTGTGCAGGCGTGGGTTCATTAACATCTTGAGCAGAGATTCCCCATCATGCAGTGCTTCCCTGCTTTTCTGGTCCTAGAGTTCCGTGCGGTTCTTGTCTTGGAATCTCTGTTCTACATTCTGTATGCTAATAGGGATGCCTTCCTGTCCCATCTCCGATGCAAATGAGGCTAGGGGAGTTTCCTTAATCCTGTCACCCTTGTCCAGAGGGGTTTAGGTGTGTCTCTCCCTGCCTTTTCATTGTTTTTTGTAAGTCTTTCTTCTGATCGGCTTTGGTTCAAGCAGAGGCTGGTGGGGGTGGGGGGAAGGTGTTTCGTGAGTCAATCAGGCTGGGGACTGCGCCCTGGTTCCCCAAGAACACAGAGCTGATAGGTAACACCGTCTCAAGCAAGGCTGGGGCTCTGCAATGTGGGTATGTGGATAGACCAAGAGAGGGAGGAGGTAGGAACTGGACACTGTAAAATTATTTCCCTGTCTCCCTGCCACGAGCTCCTGGTGTGGGCTTTTGAGAGGTCTCTGTTGTTCCTCACTGGCCCTCCTTAGCTTGCCCTCCGTCAGGGCAGTTCTTGGGCCCTCACTTAGCAGACTGCTTCAGTGTCTTGGCTGTGTTTGTGTAGGCAGCCTGGTGCAGGGAAGTCACCCCTTTGTTGTCCCAGGCCTTTCTGCCATCCTTTCCTTCTCTGAACTCGCCCCTTTATAGCAGGCCTTGTTAGGGTGACTGGATAGTATTAAATTACTCACTTCCGTCTTCTGAAGTGTGGAACCCCCCCTTGAGGAAGGTTACTGGGGTGCCAGGTTGGAAGTGATTTTCTGCAGGAAGCCAAAGAACATAGCTTTTGTAGAAGCCATTTTGCCAGAGGTTTGGGAGCCAGTGTGTGTAGGCTGGGCCGAAGCTTGCTTTGTGTAAAAATAAAATGATTTGGAGGAGTTCTGGGGTTTTTGATTTGTTTTCTTCTTGAGGCATGTTGTATTTCTTTGAGAAAAGTAAAACTGGTTTTGGACTTAATTGGGAAGAGTCTTGGATCTGTTTTTATTTAGAGTCAAAATACTTTGTATTATTTATTTTTTGTTTTAAAACATTATCTATAAAAATCTAATAATAAAATAGCACCTAAGTAGTTTTTATTTTTAACTGGACACCATTTCATAGACACAGAATTTCTTTTTGGTGAACATTGTTAAATAATGTAGTAGATGTGCACAAACAATGTCAGAGCAAGATAACATGCAAATTGAGAACAATAAAAACCTGTGCTGGGTGAGAGGATTTGGGCCCAAAAGCAAAAAAAACATTAGTGCAATGTTGATGTTACGTATTTAAACACAAAAAAGTAAGGAAAGATAAGGTTCTCATAGTAACATTAATTCTCCTGTGTATACAATTTTCAATTACTATTACTCATAATAATAATACCTAGCTCTTATATAGTGCTTTCATCAGTAGATCTCAAGTGCTTTACTGTGCGGGTCAGTATCATTCACATTAGGTGACCAAATATATATGTAAATAAAATACAGTAAAAAATCATAAATTTCTTGGGGAGGTGTGTTGTCTTTTGTCTGTGCAGCACCGTGCACATTGTCATTCTGTAAATGATAATAATAATGAGCAGTGTGGATGAATTAATGTTACTATGTGAAACTAACGTCACCGTCTAGTGTCTTTATATTTGAATATGAAACTTTAATTGTACATTAATTAAGTGTTCTTCATGTAATGTTATTTTCTGTTTTACATATATATATGTACAAAGAAGTAAAATTTTTCTTAGAATGCTGAAGTTAATTGAAGTTACCTTGGTACTATAGACAGAATGTCATTTTAAAAATGCCATAAAAGACAAAGGTATTCCACAAGACAAATACCGTAAATGTTATTTCCATATTTACTACATATTGTGAAGAAGTATTTGAATTTTACTTCATCAACTCTGTTTACACAAGGAAAGAGTTAATTATCAGTTTGGAATTTGACAGTTAACCAGCTGTTTATATTATCTTTACAAGCATTTCTCCGTTTGTGGGAGTCTGGTCAGTTTAATGAACTAGATGAGTAATTTCTTTTCAGAATGGTAAGAGATAATAATGAACCTGCTTGATTTTCAAGCACCTTACTGATCTTTCTTCCCGGATACTTTGTGTCTTTACACTATACAAACAGTATGCAGATTTCTGTGTGTTACTAGTGCAATTAGTTTGTCATATGAACTCTGAGAAATTTAGAAAAACTTGATTTTTGTATTTATAGTATTGTCAACCTCAAATGTTCAAAAATCATGAGTTAGTCCCCCTAAAATAAAAAGATTTTAAAAACCCACCATATTTTGGGTTCTTTTTATTTGCCTCTTGGTTTTTGCACTTTTTAGGATACATTTTCCATTTTTTCTCTAAAACCCTAAAGGCTAGAAACCTGTTTAAAAAAATGAAAGCTGAGATTCTCACTTAATCAGAGGATTCCAGAAGCTTTAAGAAAAATGCCACATATTGCGAGACTTGCAATAAAATCACAAGAGTTGGCTATACTATTAGCAATTATTGTTAATTGTAAATGGGTTAATTTCAGTTGTTGTATTTTAACATTATGGGGGAAATTTTCAAAGGCACAAATGGCAGTTAGGTGAAAGTCATTGAAAGTTAGCTCTGTCATATGAATTTTTGAAAATCTTCCTCTAACCCTTTAAACCAGGGGTTGGCAACCTCTGGCACGTGGCTCGCCAGGGTAAGCACCCTGGTGGGCCGGGCCAGTTTGTTTACCTGCCACAGGTTAGGCCGATCGTGGCTCCCACTGGCCAATGGGGGCAGTGGGAAGTCGCGGCCAGCACATCCCTCAGACCGCGCCGCTTCCCGCAGCCTCCATTGGCCTGGAGCAGCGAACCGCAGCCAGTGGGAGCCACGATTGGCCGAATCTGTGGATGCGGCAGGTAAACTAACTGGCCCGACCCGCCAGGGTACTTACCCTGGCGAGCCGTGTGCCAGAGGTTGCCAACCCCTGCTTTAAACCACGGCAAAATGGAAACATTGAGCATTGGAATGAAAGCAACAGTATCATGTTGTGATATGTACTGAGAACATTACTGGCCCCAGAAAAACAATTTCATTTGCTTTAAATGTCCTCAAAGTCTTGTTTACAGTAGGCAAGCTTGCAGGATAAAAATTTTTTTCCTGAATTTGTTCAAATGATTGACTACCCAGTATCATTTCCAGAAATGAGATATAACTTTTTCAACAAAACTAACTATGAGCAGGTGATCACCATTAATTTTTTTCTGTGATATACAACACTTTTTAAGTTGCTTCATAAATATTACTAGGATTATTAGAGGATTTTTTAAAATTATTGATCCCTCTACATTAGCCTCATGTAGCTTTTATCATAAAATATAATTTCTAGCAAGATGTTTTCCATCATAGTTATGGTGGAGTGGCAACACCATAGTTAGGGTTATATAGTTTAATAATTCAAAATGTCCCACATAAATAATTTGTGCAAATAAGTGCAAGATGTAAATACCAACTGTACAAGATATGTCAGCTATATTGTAGAAAAGATGAATGGTAATAATTCAGCGGCATAACTTTAAAAACATATTTCCTGTATTTTTTGTTTATTGCAGGAAGAAGGTCACTTTTTGTGGACAGATGGATCTCCTTATCTTGGAAAAGATGAGATCTCGTCCTTGTCCTTGATACTAGAGAATGAAACTGACTGCTGTGCTTTTCAGCAAAATCCAACTGGTCCAAACTATTTCTTCACAGGATTTTTCTGCTATATATCTTTGCCATATATTTGCGAATATGAATGTAACTATATTTCTTTCAGTCTTTACCTGAACGTGTGTTTTCCCCGTAAAACTACATTAATGATGTTAATTTTAGAAAAATCAGCCTTTATATTTATCAATTATTCTAAATTTTTGGTGTTCTTTTTCAGTACCTTCTGTACCAGAAAACTTTGTGTTTAACGTGCAAGACATCAAAACAACCGAAGCTGTGTTTGTTTGGAGTGAGTTGAATGACTGGCTTAAATCAGGATTTGAACTTATAATTAAATACTATTTTGATGATTCAGAACAACATTTTGAGCGCTTGCCTCTAAATACAACACGCACAACAATTGTGCAATTGTCTCCTGGTCGCCTCTATAGGGTTTTACTATCAGCAAGGAGCCCCAGAGGGGCACAGACTAACTTAAGTCCAGTTCTGATGGTAGAGACAAGTAAGTTACAAAACATACAGTAATAATAACCATTCAATCATTGACTTTTTCATATTTTTTTCTTTTAAGACACTATGTTTTGTGTTCATGGACATGCTAAAATTAGAGATGGGCTGAACTGAAATCTTGGATATGAACACTGCTAGATTTTAGTGTTCAAAATCTTGATCTTAATCCATAGCTAAAATGCACTATTGAAACAGATTGTGAAAGGATTGAGGAGTTTACATAGGGCTTAAGTAGAAAACAGGCTAAAATGTGACTAGCTGTAAGGTCAGGGATTTAACTTCTGATTTAAAAAATATTTCAAAACCTCAATCCCATCATCATTCTGCACCTAGAACTTCCATTGAAGTCAAAAGGATAAGGGCCAGGCTCAGTAAAAGGTGAAAAAGCACCCATTTGACCACCATGATTTAATAAAATTGCACTGGTTCTAATTCTCAAGGAAAAGACTTCTTTTGGAAAAATTGCTATATCCATATCTATGTAGCGAATACAAATTTTACAGTTTGAAATACACTATAGTTATTTTTGACCCAGTGGAGCAAGCTAAATGGAATAGAGACAAATGTATAACCCAATTATCTACTGTCGTACCAAAATCTAACTGAACACACCCAGTGAACACTAGCAAACACTGGATAAAGGTGATTAATTCCTTTGAATCAAAGGTGAGTCAAAGAGAAATCTCATTAAGAATAAATTACTTCAGAGACACAAACAAAACTTCAAAACCACTCAGTCTGCCAAAGAATGATACAACAAGTAGAGGAACATATTTTACAATTTAATTTCTGTCTGAATCCAATCATTTTGTACCTTCTTTTTGAAAGTAGTATAGAAAAAAAAGTATGAAATTATATTTTTTGTTCCAAAATGTAAAGTCCAATGGTTTTTTAAAGATATAAACATTTTAGGTGTAAAAATTAGATATATGAAACAACTGAGATAATTAAGCTTCTAGAAGGAGAGGATATCGTTATATAGGGAATCAACTGCATATAATCTGGGATTATTCCAAACCAAAAGACTTTTGGTCTGATCTTTGAAAACTGATTACAGGGGGAAATCCTTCAAGTTCCTATCTCTGTGGTGTTAGAATCTGTAGTGATTAAACAAGGATAGATGCTATGGGCTGGGTTAGCATCTGGCAAACCATCATGAGTAAGGGGCAAGGCATGGTTGCATTTCCCTAGGAGCAGAGCAGGAACCAAATTGCTCCAGAGGGAAGTAAGGTGTACCAGCCCTATACCTGGTGGATTTTACTCCCTCCTCTGTACTGGCTCAGGTTTGCTGACTTGTGTGTTTGAGGTGGAGAGACTACACCCACTTCCCACCCCTGCCTATCTGGTTATATCTTTAATAAGTAATAACTAAAAAATTGCCAGAAGCTATTTTCTTATTTTCCTTTTTTAATTTTGTCATCAGGGCCATTACATTCTCACAGTTTAGAGGCTACACATGTATCATCAACAGAAATCTATTTACAGTGGGACCCTCCAGAGAACTCCTCCAATGCATCTTTTCATCACTATCTTGTCACTATTTTGGACACTGAAGTGAACACATCGGAGAAATTACCAGTTCAGAAAAGCACCACTTCAATGGTAATTAGAAACATCAAGCCGTATCATCAGTACAAGATATATTTACAGAGTGTAGCAGAAAAGGGATCTCTAAGCTGCAGTGAGAAGCCTATATTAATTACAACAGGTAATTACACATATATATATATACATACATATATATATATATATCTTTTCCATTTAAATTGAAAATAGAAAGCACAAAGTTACTGTTAATTGGTACTATATAAGTACACCTTTACCCCAATATAACGCTGTCCTCGGGACAGGGCTGGCTCCAGGCACCAGCTGAGCAAGCAGGTGCTCGGGGTGGCCAAGGGGAAGGGGCGGCACGTCGGGCTCTTCGGCGGCAATTCGGCGGCAGGTCCCTCGGTCCCTCTGGGAGCTACAGCCGATCGCGGCTTTTTTTTTCCCCACCGCTTGGGGCGGCAAAACCCCTGGAGCCGGCCCTGCCTCAGGAGCCAAAAAATCTTACCGCGTTATAAGTGAAGCCTCGTTATATATCGAACTTGCTTTGATCCACTGGACTGTGCAGCCCCGCTCCCCTGGAGCACTGCTTTACCGCGTTATATCTGAATTCGGGTTATATCGCGTCGCGTTATATCGGGGTAGAGGTGTAGTGATTTACTGGTACATGTTTGGAGGCAAGCCAGGCAAATTCTCTTTCTCTAAATTGCCTCTATCATTCATTAATTTTCCAGATGGGGAGTGTATCTATCCTCTTTTTTCCCCAGTGTCTTGTGTTAATATTTGCTAAATAAACTTCATAATGGTTTATATATATTTATTTACACAGCTCATATATTTAATGATAATAAAATGGCTAAATCTCCATGTATTCCAGTGTAGCTTTGAACATAAAAACATGATGAATGTGAAGTTTAAGCAAAGCTGAGCAGTGCACCAATTAGGAGGATTTTTTGCAATTTGCACTTGACACTTGCTTAAAGTTCCATAGGCTGTGGAACAAGGGGGCCATGACTCAACCACTTTTAAGCAGCGATCCCTTACTAAATCAGGACAGCTACTTCTGATGCAGTCCAGAACGTTACTCTGGCTGTGTGGTTGCAATGCAGTTGAAATTTAACCCAGACAGTCCTTGGAGGTGCTGGAGAGCCAAATTTCAGTGAGTGCCGCTGTGACTTGGTGCACAGGGTCACAATGCCACTCAAATTTGGCTTGGTCACCCCTCTGTCAAGACAGAGGGACGGTCAGGTCAAATGGGGTTGCGACCTGGCATATTGGGAGTCTGTTCGGTGCAGTGTCAGAGAGTCTGCTGAGAACTTAATTCCTGGCAGCGCTGGCTCATGCACTGTGTTGGTAAGAGAGGGGAGACTCCTGGGTTGAGGGAGACCCGAGGTTCCTGTAGGAGCAGGAGAGGGGAGAGAGTATAGGGAACAGAACAGAGTCCCAGCTGAGGGGGAATTCCCATCCCCCCAGAAATATCTCATTTGACCTACATGAAGATAGACCAATGATTATACTAATGGTCAGATTTTGATACCCTCATTCACAGTGTTTAGTGCTTTACTCTGTAACTATTTCCACTGGAATGGAAGGGACTACTTGCAGAGTAGGGGACTACTGATTGTGAGTAAAGGTGGCCACAAAGGATGACTGGAGCAATTTTAATAAAATACTAGTCTTAAAGGTGCCACAGGACCCTGTGTTGCTTTTTAGTAATAAATAATACTTTTCAGATACCAGTCACCATTAAACCATCCATTTTCTATATTTATATGGAGACTTAACAGCACAGAAACAAAGAGCACAGTACTGTTCATCCTTTCACACATTCTGGATAGCTCAACTTCCCCTTCCCATCTTTCCCACTTCCTCAAGCCTTGTCCTTAATGTTTCCACTTGCCCACCCCATCCTACAATATAAAACCACGGAGAGCTACAACAAGAAACTGCAGTTTATATGAAAGAATGCAATTTAAAAATCATTAACTACAGAAGGTGAGTGTACAATCTGCTATAACCTCTCTTTTGATTAAAGCACTGTACAGATTTAGAGGTTTCTCTTGCTATGGTTATGTATGTGTCTTATCCAAGTATCACAAAAGAAAACATAAAATCAAAGGATTGCATTAGGAAGGGTTACTAAATGGACAATACCTTTAACCTGTATTTATACACTGTAATTTTTTGTCTTTATTTAAGCTGTCAGTCCACCTAGCAATGTTGTTATTCATCCCGAGGATGTGCAAGAAGAGAGTGTAATTCTTCACTGGAAGGTACCACAAGAGGGCCTTGGATCCTACATTCAAGTGAAACCTACTACAGATGTGGATGAAACTGTAAAGTTTTTATTAAACTCCACAGATAGATTTAAGATTAATCATCTAGTTCCTGGCATGACTTATGAAATATCAGTGGCAACTGTGAATAATGGAAATATGAGTGAACTGAAGACCATTCAATGCACCCTAAGTAAGATAAAATTTTATAAAGATTAACAGATTTTTTTTATTATTATTATTGTTGTTTAGCATAAATGATTTGGCAGATAGGGTAGTTTTGCCTGGCAATCCTGGGCCTAAATTGAGAGATTAATGCATTTATGTAAACTGTCAGAGGCACAGTCTTTAAATTAAGAGCATCAGAATTACATAGCACAAGTCAATGGAAATGGTACAGCATTATATCATAACCATGCTTAGCCGTGCAATGGCAGCACTGAATGCAGTTGTGTGAGAGAGATGGGGACCAGCTAGGACATTTTACTCCCACCGTGAAAAGAGATTGGGTGTGTTGTGGATTTGAAATGGGGTGACGAAATACAGGAATGGTTCGGGTTAGATAATCTGTATATTGGTCTGTTAGGCTGTTAGTCCAAGTAAAATGCCAGGAGTTATGTAGGCTGCTACAGCAAGAGTATGTTGACAAAGATGTAAATGGATGAGGGAAATGAATTAAAGGCTAATAAGTAGAAATATAGTGCACGTAATTTATGAGAGGTAAAAACTGCACATTGTTTATCTAAGGATCTTCTCTGTTGTACTTAGTTTCCTGGGAGATAGAGAAGGTCCTGGTACAATATAGATTTTTAGCAAGTATGTAAGGAATGTGGAAGGTTCACACTTAATATGTGTATGTTTGTGTAGGGCAGTGGCTCTCATACTTTTGTACTGGTGACCCCTTTCACATAGCAAGTCTCTGAGTGCGACCCCCCCCATAAATAAAAACACTTTATATATTTAATACCATTATAAATGCTGGAGACAAAGTGGGGTTTGGGGCAGAGGTTGACAGCTCGTGACCCCCAATGTAATAACCTCATGGACGACTGGGGGGTCCCGACCCCCAGTTTGAGAACCCCTGGTGTAGGGGGATAGGGCTGTATAATATAGACAGCTGAAAAATGACATCATCACACTAAATATAACTGATTACAGTATTTTTTGGTAGATTTTTGTCATTTTTTGGGCGTAGCATGGTGTCCAATACCTCATTCCAGTTACAGAGGCCAAGAAATTACAAAAGGTACTTTTCACAGCTGCTAGCACCAGCTGTGGAGCAAGAATGCTAAGATGTAAAGATCGCTTACCAGTGAAATGTAGGCTTACTTGGCACTTCTTCTGTGACTTATTTTACAGTCCATAAGTTCATTTGTCTAAATTTGTTTCAAATACTGGTTCTTCACTGCTTACTGGAATTATGAATGAAAAGGAAATTAATATGACATCTTCTGTAGACTAAACTGTTGTGAGATTGACCTCCTTTATAAAGTGCTTTGAGATTTATTGATGAAAAATGCTATATGAGAGCTCGTTGTTTATTTATTTCTCAGTGATACTGTATCTTATTATGGTAGCTATCACTTTATGCCATATGAACATATTTCTCAGAAAACCTGCTTCAGATTTATTGTAGTACAGTAACACCTCACTTAAAGTTGTCTCGGTTAATGTTGTTTCGTTATGTTGCTGATCAATTAGAAAACATGCTCATTTAAAGTTGCGCAGTGCTCCCTTATAACGTTTTTGGCAGCCGCCTGCTCTGTCCACTGCTTGCAGAAAGAGCAGCCCGTTGGAGCTAGCTGGTGGGGGCTTGGAACCAGGGTGGACCAGCAGCCCCCCTACCAGCTCCCTGCTCCCCTAAGTTCCCTGTGCGGCAGCTGCCAGCAGGCTTTCAATTGTTGGCAGTTCAGCTGTCCCTCCCCCCCACTGCCATGTGCTGCTCCTGTCCTCTGCCTTGGAGCTGCTCCCAGGAGCCTCCTGCTTGCTGTGCGGGGAGTAGGGGAGTAGGGGGGCTAATGTCAGGGTGTCCCCCTCCCCCCTGGTCCTGCCATCCCACTTACTCCATCTCCATAGAGCTGGGGGGTGGGGGAGGAAGGGACAGGACAGGGCTCAGGACGGAGGGAGCTTGCTGGCAGCAGCTGCCGTCTCAACTTGCTGATCTACTTAAAAAGGCAATGTACTTAGCGTGGGGTCAGAGTACTTAAAGGGGCAATGCACATCTCTCTCGCTCTCTCTCTCTCTCTGTCTCACACAGGGTGTGTGTCTCTTTCTCTGTCTGCCGTGCTGTCTCCCCTCCCTCGATTTGTGCTGCCTTTTAGAGTGTGAGGCTACATTAACAACAATGTGTTAACCCTTGAGGGCTCAGCCAGTACTAGTTCATCATTTAGCAGTAAGGCATTCCCTGGGAAATATCCCACCCTCTTCAACCCTCTGACTTCACTACCTCAACTAAACTTCACAATCATCATTGCTATGTACAGTATTAAATTGTTTGTTTAAAACTTATACTGTGTGTGTGTGTTTGTGTGTGTGTATATATATATATATAC